AGAGGTGAGTTCTGAGAACCAAGAAGGTGCCGGATTCAAAATGGAGTCCCTTGTGCCAAGACCAGGCACCTATCTGCTACCAGTTCTTGGATTAGTTAACAATCCTTTGATTGTAAGTAGTTTATACCCAACTCTATCTTAAACAAAAAGTCAGGAGGCGAGGACATTGACTGCGTTTGCCTGGCTGTGTCCACTCTCCCTGAGCACTTCTTTCTGACTGCCCTCCGTACCCCGGTCGGCTGTGGGGCCACCAGCACCATGTCTGTGAGCGAGATCTTTGTGGAGCTGCAGGGCTTCCTGGCTGCAGAGCAGTACATCCAAGAGGAAATCCGAAAAGTTGTACAGAGTTTAGAGCAAACCGCTCAAGAGATTTTGACTCTCCTTCAAGGGGTCCATCAGGGTGCTGGGTTTCAGGACATTCCAAAGAGGTGCTTGAAAGCTCGAGAACATTTTGGTACAGTGAAAACACATCTCACATCTTTGAAGACAAAGTTCCCTGCTGAACAGTACTACAGATGTCATGAGCACTGGAGGTTTGTGTTGCAACGCCTGGTCTTCTTGGCAGCCTTTGTTGTGTATTTGGAATCAGAAACACTAGTGAGGCAAGAAGCGGTTACAGAAATTCTTGGCATTGAGCCAGACCGGGAGAAAGGATTCCATCTAGATGTTGAAGATTATCTCTCAGGAGTTCTAATTCTAGTTAGTGAACTGTCGAGGTTGTCGGTGAACAGTGTGACTGCTGGAGACTACTCCCGGCCTCTTCACATCTCAACCTTCATCAATGAGCTGGATTCTGGGTTTCGCCTTCTCAACCTGAAGAATGATTCATAGAGGAAGCACTACGATGGCTTGAAATATGATGTGAAGAAAGTAGAAGAGGTGGTCTATGGTCTTTCCATCCATGGTTTCAATAAGGAAACGGCCACTGCTTCTGTAGACAAATAGGCTCTCTCCCTGCCCTGGCCTTGTTTACCTCAACGGCTGCCAGTGAGAGTGAGCACAGTGCCGCTTAGAGGAGCTTGGATGCCCAGTTGCTAAACACTGCGCTTTATTTTCTTAACCAGTTGTGGTGTATCAGAAGTAAAACATCTTTGGTGGTTAAAAAAAAAGCAAGGGCAGACTTTTCTTTATTGTTTCAGTGAATTTGCTCTGTAATTCCATGTGTTTTAGTGTGTCAAGAAGTGTAAATGTCAACATCCTGGTAAAGTCCTTTTCTTGTGTATTGACACCAGTATAATCTTGATGTGTTGTTCAGTTTATTGTCTTGTTTGTAATCTTTCCAGATGTGATCTTTGATGTTTTCTATATTCCAAGTTAGCCATCTAGATACAGGTATGACCTGGATAGAGTGTTAAATAATTAAAAAGAATGATTGCCAATTAGAGGCAATGAATAAGTTATTATATATTCTTCCTTATTTTAAGCCTTGTGAGTAAATCCAATGTTGAATTTTTTTTACAAGGGAAACTGGGTTGGGGGTAGAAGTGTGTCTCTCACTGCCATCAGGATACAGGAGAAGCCAACTGCAAAGGCAGGCTCAACAGGTTATTAGGAAATTCATATATTAAAGGGTTTAGTAAGGTCTTGTTGCTAGCTCTGTTTTAAGGAACACTTTGCCAAGTGGGGAGTAGGGTTTAATGTTTTAAAACACATCTGCTGTCTGATGTTGCCTTAACAGTCTATTGGAAAGCAAATGTTTGTTAGTCTTAAAAATAATCTTCACACACGTCTTGAATTTAATGGGTCTTTTAGGGGGTTTTGAAAAGTTCATGAAAAACATAATTAGAAGAAAATGTGATTTTCCCCCAACGAACTTTAAAGAACCCTTGTGAAACCCCTCCACCTTTTAGCAGCTACCTAATGTTTTGATCTGAGAGCATAAAGCCTGTGTGCATTAATTAGCAATGCCCTAACTAATGTATTCTTTAAGAAAATGCCATGCTTTGTGGAGAAGGAAGTTCAGCTTGATATTTTTTTTTGGTAAGAGTAAGAACTTTTCAATTGTTGATGGCTATCCCAACAGAAATCCTTACAGTTTGGGCTAAGTCATTTAAATCCTAGTGGTCCTACTCTCATTTCAGATCGTGCTAAGAATTTCTACCGGGTAATTTGCTGTGGGTTCTTCATTTGAAAGTAAGCTATTGACTTAATCCATAGTCCTTTGGAGTTCACTAAAAGGAAGGTACTTACCATTTCAGAATAATATGAAGTGTTTAGAAATGTCACCTTATCATGCCCAATACTAATACTAGTCTCTTGTTTATATGGTAAGATGTTTGGCATTGCCACAAGAGATTTTTATCTCAGGCTAAAGGAAGGACTGACTAGTTTCTCTAACCCAAAGAGAAGGTAGAAATGAGGTATCACTGAATTTTAGAACCATTTTCTTGACAGATCCTTCTGCACAAGATCTTGTTTAATGAAAAGTGTTAGGTTCATAAAAGTGCCTGAGATGGTTACTGAAAATGTGCTAGAATAACTGCTGAATTGAGCGCAAAAGCCTTCTTAGTGATGTGATCAGACATATGCACAAGATTTGATAATGGTTTCTGACTCTGTAAGTACTGATTGTGCTTAAGAATATTAAAACTCTTGGCAGAAGTTCTAAATTTTAGTTTTAACATATATTTTAAGAGAATGAGCACATTCTTGTTTTGTCATTCTGTTAGAGAATTCAGAAATGCCATGTTTATAATTACTCAACTGTATTTGCTGCTGGCTTGTAAAGCAATAAAAACATTTTTTGTCCCTTTTTAAAAAAGAGTCATAGTAATGCAGTAGAACTTCGAAAGTTTGTAGAAAAATGGAATGAAAAGATAATGGGAGTGGGACTTTACATGTAGACTTGTGGGAGTGTATGTTTGATAGAGGATATTTGTACATGGGTATTTTACCCATGCTGCCAATATGTCCACAAATATAGTAGAACATGCAGAGGGCCAAATTATGGAAACCTCCTGGACATAACCAAACAATTTGAGGAAATGAGTCACTGAACCTGGGGTCTCAGAAGCATTAGTTTCACAAAGACAATGTTCTATATCCTATTTTGGTAAGTAGAGAATGAGGTCATCCCTAGTCAAGAGGAAAGAAGCGTGATGAAGATCAGACTCATGGAAACCATCCAATGGACCAAGCAAACATCAGTCTACGCAAACATCAATCTCAATGACCTTAAGACCAGAAGATGGTCCTCAACTAACACTATCACCTGTTCTGAAAAGGGACCACATTAGAAGGTCCTGGATAGAGTGATAGAAAAATGTGGAATGAAAACTCAGAATCATAAAGACAAGGCTGACTGGTTGGATACAGACTGGTGGAATCCCTGAGACCATGTCCTTAGTTACTCTCTAGGTCTAGAACCGAACTTATCCTTAAGACTCAATTTTAAGCCAAACTAGTTCAGTAAAGGAAATAACACTAGAGAGCTATACCCATCTTAGAATAATTAACCACTGGAGATCAAAAGAGCAGAATTCACTCAAGAACAAAGTTCAGAAGGGTTAGGAAAGAAGAAGGAATGGGAACAGAATACACAAGGAGGAAGTAGAATAAGTGATGTTACATTAAGGGGATTACAATTAGATGAAACAAAATGTGTATGAGTTGTTGATTGTAAAACTAATGACACGCTCTGTAAGCCACCTAACTCACAATAAAAGTTTTTTTTAAGATAATGGAATTTTTTGTGGACATTTGATAGTCCTGTTGTAGTAAGGAAACCAAACACAATATGATTTCAAACCTGACCCTTGAACACAGGACTTCTTATATCTACTCTTCTCTGATAATTTGCATTTTTCTCTTTATGCAGACTGTCATAGTGTGTCCCTGTGGTGGGAAAATTGACTGCTTGCAGCTTCCACATTTTATACCTAGAGAAAACCGGTCTAGCCCAATAGCAAATTATCCAGAAATGAAATTCTGATTGACCCAGCTTGTATTAGGGGCCTACTTCTGACCTCCTCTATCAACTGTTTTTGCTAAGACCCTCTAAATAGGAGGATGGAGGGTCAACTTCTAGAAAAATGAGTGTAAGCAGACAACCATAATACTAGAAAACTTCTGTTCCCTCTTTCATTCCTTTAAGCCACTGTCCTCTCTCTTCATTGCCTCACCATCTCCTGTTGACACAGGTTCACTTATCTATTTTGGAGGGGCTCAAGTGTGAATATTTGCTTAAAATGCTATGTGAGGCTAATTATCTCTGAGTAAGCAATTTATGAGATGAATTCACACAATTCATGTCACATGGCTATTTTAAACAACGATAACACAGTAATGACAGGGAAAATGCAAGTATAAGTGGGCCCACGGTGGTCAAACCCATATTCTAGAGTCAACTGTTCCGATTCCTTTCCAGTATGGGATGTTCTGTATTATTCTCTTTTTTTCTTGTATTATTCTTTAATCTCTTATTTTGATAAGTTCCATTATGAAGCTAGAAGCTTTATCAGCATTTGCATCCTAATCAATTGTTCTCAGACCTTATTTGTCTTGACCACTCTTGAATTCTTCCTTGATTTTGAAATCAACTCAATGGAAGTGAGTTTGGATTTTTTTTCTTTTAGTTTGTTTTAGTTTGGTTTTGGCCACTATCTCCAAGCCAGATCTGACTGTTATCATTATTGCAGAACAGGAAAGATCGTGTTTTCTATCTTACTCTTACTCAGAGTGGGCCCAAAAGTCAGTTCTAAGATTGTTGTTCCATCAAAATAACCTGAAAAGCACGCTGAAAGTAGATTGTTCAAAAGATTATGATTCTGTACTCCTGGAATTGGAGCTCTTGTAGCTATTCTTAAAAGGCACTTGAAAGACTAAGGCTTGGAAACAAAGGCCCTAACCCTAAGATTATTCAGTTCAGTGGACACCAGAAAGGTCCAATTTGTAGTTTAATTTCATTAATGCTTATCTCTCTTGACTAAAGAGATTCTGAAGGTAAGGGACATTCTGCATTACTGTATTACCTTGGGAAAGTAAATGTGTTTCTTTATTCATCAAATGGGTCCTTCAACGAATTCCATAACTATAAGGAGGTTGCTTCAGAAATGTTAGTTGCTATAGTTATTATAGGAGCCCTAGTGGCATAGTAGGTTACCGTCAGACTGCTACTCACAAGGTCAGCAGTTTGAAACCATCATTGGCTCTGAGGAAGAAAGATGAGGCTTTCTATGCCCATAGAGTCTAGGAAACACACAAGGGTAGTTCTTCTCTGTCCTGTCGGGTTGCTTATGAGCCAGAATTGGCAGTAAATTTTATTTTTGTTTCATGCGTTTTTCATTAACCAAAATTTCTCTCAAGGGGAAAATTCTCTCTGTGAATTTAGCTTGCTCTAACTGAACAATCAACCCCTGTTTATTTTTAATGATAGAGCACTCCTCCCAAAAATCTTCACGAGATGTGGTAAAGGGATTGAAGCAACTCAGTGGATGCAGGAGTTGAAGTCCAAATTCTAAACACCTATTACCATGCCCCAGCTCCTTATGACTCTGCGCAAGGGCTGATAGGGATGGTAGTCCTATTCCTCAAGGGCATCTTGATGCTTTAGAGCAAAAGACAGCAACTCCCTGCATGCACCGCTGTCTGCTTTCCCTCCAATCAGAAAGCAGCATGGTTCCCGAAGGAGGAAGCTGTTTCACCCCCATATAAAGCAGTGAAGGAGGGGAAAGTTGGCTAGAAACCCATCATTGCTTTTTTCTCCCATCCCCTCCTAACTCCACTCTACATTATTAGTCCTCAACCAAATCCAATCTAGTCGCTGCTCCTCCCTGCTTTTATTCGTTCGCTTCTTACCCCGCCCCCAGTACAGTTTTCCCGCCCCTCATCTCCAATGTAGTGCGCACGCGTCTGCTCCCAGCGTTCCACAAAGCTGCCTAGCTTATCTCTTCTGCCCACTGACGAATCATGGGTGTCCCGGGCTTCCAAGAGTTCCTGGAGAAGCGGTGCCTTGGAGCAGTGGTTCCCGTGGCCCTCCTCAAGCTCGCGCACACGGACTTACGCCAGCTGTCAGCGAAGGCAGCTCTAGCGCCCAGGGGCCATGCCTTGCTGCCGCCCGGGGCGCCGCAGCTCAGCAACCACTACTACCCAATGCCTTGGGTGCCTGCTCAGCACCTACCACCGCCGCCCCGGAGCCCGGGTGTTGGTGGATGTGAGCTTGGCGCTGCCGCGGCTCTATGGCGACTACCAGACAGATTGGGTGTGTGGCGGCCAGTGGAACGCCATGCTGGGCTACTTGTCAGCACTGTACCAGGCTTCTGCATACCCTGGTGGCGACGGCCTGTCGCTGGTAGTCATGTTCCCTGGGGTCGTGGGTAAGGACCTGCTGGCCGAGCGGCAGACAGCGCAACTGGACACGTAGGCAAAAAAGGCACCCCTCCTCCACCAGCCTGGTTCCTGCCATGGGCAGGCCTGAGTCACTGCCTAAGGCTAGCACTCATCCGCTTCCGGGTCAAGATGAGGGAGGGGCCAGATCTTAACGTGCCCTTCACCAATACCCTCACAACTAAATATTTAACCGTTCAAACTTAACATGCCTCTCATCCACGCACCCAATCACCTAACCCACCTGCCTAACCCTGAGAAGATTTATCCCATTAACCGTGGATACCATCCCTTCCTGTGTACCCAATATGCCTAACCAAGACTAGCCTTGCTACCCCAATCAACCCCTTACCTTCCCTTACCCAATTGGCCCATCATTAGGTTTTCACATAATTTAGTCAGAATTTTCTTTGTAGCTTTACCTTTCCCAGCTGCTGTCTTTTGTCATAAACTGAAATGCATTTTTCCCAGACCTTTTTTCAATTGCCATCTATCTTTTCTATACCACTTTTCAACTTCAAGTCAAATCAATTAAATAGATATCAATTAATCACCTATTTCTACAACTCCCCCTTCGGACCTACCCCCTAACATGCTCCAACTTCCTGCTTTAACCTAAACAAATAAAACCGTCACTGTTCAACAAGGGGTTGAAAGACATGTGTGACATGGTTCCTGCCCACGGAAAATCAAATATATAAACACCTGAAACATTTATCTGATGGTATTTGTATGTAATTACATAGACAATAAATACAGTACTTATTGGGAGACAATCACTGGGCTAAAATGATTAGGGAGGCTTTAAGGATGGCTTAGATTGCAATGAGTCACAAGTTAGGGTGGAAGTTATTTTGAATTAAAAGGGGGAAAATGAGCAGAAACCAAAAACGGAATATCAAGTTTGTAAGGCTCCATGGACAGTTAAGTCCATCCTCTGCTTTCAGTGGGGCCTGTGGAACCGCTTGGCAGTGTCCTCGATTCTTGGCACCATAGATATTCCTCTGTTGCTTTCCGAGACTCGTAGGTTTCAAGTGTCTATGTACTGAGAGTAGCAAGGCTAAAGAAATAAAGGAGTGGGCAGGAAGAAGAAAACAATTAGTACAAGAATGGATAAGATTAAACTTCAAACTCCCAAAGGTCTTCAGAATGCTCATAGGTAGAAGACAGATCACGGAATTGTGGGAATCAAACTAAAGAAATTATGCAGGGTGCAGTAAGGAGGAGGAAGAAAGATGAGAGGCAAACACCTGCATAGAGAAGCTTACAGTGACCCTAGAGCTCGTGGCTAGAGTCCAGTCATGTTAGACTCCTTATGCCCACCATCAAATCATCACCAAGGTTAAAGAAATTATAGCTGTATCTCATTAGATCTATGAAGCAGTATTTTTTCCATATCTCAAACAAGGATGGAGCTTTTAAAAATTCATAAAGCAATGGAATTGAAAGATAATGGAATTTTTCCATGAACTTTTTGAAGCCCACTGATACTCTTAATGAGTGCTCAAAGATGAATCCTTATAAAACACTGTTGTGATTCACTCATTCTCATACTTGACTAAACTTTTTCCTGGCTCCAACCTGAAGGCAAGTTCAGGGTATTTATTATTGTTGTTATTCATTTATTGGATGTTTTCTATAGGCTAAGTACTGTGAGGACTCAGGTAAATAACGGGATCCCTACATTCAGAGAGTTTACTGAAAGACTGTAAAGGAAGTTGCAGATACAGTGTGCTAATTGCCATAGTCCACCACCACATGTTCGGTCTATTTCAAATCAGGGTGACCTAATGTGTGTCAAAGTAGAATTATGCTCCTAAGGATTTTCCATGTCCAATTTTGTAGTATATTGCCAGGCTTTTCTTCCAAGGTGGATTTAAACCTCCAACCTTTCAGTTAGCAGCCAAGCACATTAACACTACCCTGGGATAGTTGCTGTAATAGGAATATCTAAATGATGAAAAAATGTAGCCCCTATAAGAGGCAGAAGAGTTAGACAAAAAATGTTTTGGGTTTCTTTTGTACACATTAGTCAAAACATTTTGAGCACATAACCCTAATATATGTATATAGGCCTACTAAAACTATTGTTATACTTTATCACACAATGTTTCATGTTTAAATTCCATCAATTCATTAACATAAGATGGATTGAATAAATACATATGTGAGAAAGTATAGTAAAAATAGTAGAATGTTGATGAATAGTCAAGCGTTGAGTGACAAAAAAATTCAACATTGCCATATGTTTGAAGTGTTCTGTACTAAAATGTTAGTGAGCGGGGGAAGAAAAAGGGATAGGGAGGGGTGGAGAATCCCAGAAGCCCTCTTCAGTATTTAGTGCCACTGTTTGGGGAATGTATAAATCTTGTTCGTCGTGCAAGAGTATAAGAAAAGTCTTTGGTATTTCCATTTTCTCCATAGTGTCTTGCATATTTGGAGTATAGGATATATTTTCCCCCTGAATGACTACAGTAAAACTACTGATTACTAAATGTGATCCTAAGAAAATTAATCATAGTTGTGTGTATGTTAAAAATTAAAGTGTAAATCTTTAATATAGGGGATTTTAGACCAGATCAGAAACTGAATGTGTGAAGTGTTTGTAGATGTTGTTAATGTGTGAAAGTTTGTGATATTCTCTCTCCTGATTCTAATGAGAGCCATTTTCTGGTTGTTGGAGTGATGGAGAACTTCTTGGATTATAGCACAAATTTGGAGTATTTTACTTAACTAATTGTAGTTTGCCTTTTCAAAGGGGTTCCCTACTGTCTTAAGGAGAGCCATTTTTTGCTTGTATGATCTGCATACCTACCCTTTTTAAAAAAATGAATGCTAGTGATTCAGAACAATAAATCACTACTGAATATCTTCCCTCTTGTTTTATTTTTCAGAGTAAGCCACAGGATGGGCATTTCTTTTTTTTTTTTTCATCGTTTTATTAGGGGCTCATACAACTCTTATCACAATCCATACATA